AAAACACGTAACTTACTTTATAAAGTGAGTACATTTAAAAATACGTAGTATCAAAATATACACTTAAAAATATGTGTTTTAAACTAAAAACAGTAAAACACTCTTACAATTAAAGACCCAACGAAGAATTCCATTTTTTTTTCTTAATTTCTCTATTGCCATTCCCACCTAACACCACCGTCTCACCAATACTACAAAATATATCTACAGGTAAAACTAGATTTTCAAGTTTCAACACAAAAACCCTTCATTTCAAGCCTCTTAAACATTAGGTAAAATATCCCAATCTACTCTTAGAATTATATAATAGGGACAAAGTCACTCCCAAACAAAAAAATAAAAATAAATCCACTCACCAAGTAAACAAATTATTCATTATTCGAGTGTACCCGTCAGCCGACGTCATAAAATCGTTAAAGGCACAATGACTCGGACTGATGCGACACTGTAGACCCTTTTTTTTCATTCGTGGACGTTGACATGGAACAAGCCTGGCTTAGGTGGCACTTTTTCCCTTCATTTTTATCCACGCTGGATGGTTAGATGATCCTTACTCATCAATTTTTTATGACGTGGCAGAGACGAATTCATTAATCAATTTATTTACTTATAATATTAATTAATACTTAATTAATTGAAAAACATAAAATTAAAATTCATTATTCAATTTATTTGCTTTTCTTCCTCATCTTCATCTTGGTCTACTTCTCGTTTGTAAACGAAGGCCTGAGATTCACTTCTACAGTCCCCATTTCCCTTCATGCCCCTCCTTCTCCTCCCTTTCCCACTCATCTTTGCACAAACTCTGAATTCGAAGGAACCCAGTCGCTTCTAGGTTCGAGTTCCTTATGGGTTTCCAATCGAGGACCCAATAGTTCTCTATCTAAGAACCATGTGGTTGGTGGGCTAGGTTCTTAGAATCCAGGTCTGGATTCTGGGTCTATTCGATGGGTACTGAAGAGGAGAAAGACAAGGAAGAAGAGCAAGGAAGGGAAGAAAGAAGAGGAAAAAGGAACGAGAAACCAGAAGAAATAGGAAGAACAAATGGTATGCTCATGCTGTACAATTTATGTTTAGTTGATGATGATTGCAGGAGAAGCTTACTCTTAGAAATTTTGGGATTGAAAGTATGGCATGTTTTTGGAAATTTGAAGGGATGTGAAGGTCGATTTAGGAATTACAATGTGTTTTTTTTTTTTTGTTTCTTTTTCATTTTTTATTATTTAAGTAATAGAGAGGACCCATTTTGCCATGTCATAGTTAAAAAATAAAAGAGAAAAATCCATGTCAGCATTTGCACGTTGAAAATTGCCAGCTGTGTTAAAGTTAACGGGGTCACAACGTCAGCTGAGGTGGGTGATTTGTTGAACTTCAAAATTTGGTGGCAGATTTGTCTTTATATTTTGTTTAGAAATGGATTTATTCCTATCACCTAAGTGACCTAACCTTAGGAGTGGAATTAGGCACCATGCCTAAACACTAATCTCATACTAATTTTCCTTTCGATGTGAACTATATCACTAATAATAATTGACACATCAAAATGGATATGACATTCCAAATTTACTCAGCAATAAAAAGAAATAAAAAATTAACGGCAGGAAGAGGAAGACACAGTCATATTCAGGTAATTCAAATTTTCCCAAAAGTCAAGAATAGGGACTCCCTTCTTTTTTCGTTGTGTAGTTTTTAAAATCTACCTTAAATTTGTATGCATTTATAATCTCTCGCCTTCTCCCTCCCTCTCATTAGTTTTCGTATTCTGCTGTTAATTGACAATCAACTACTTGATTCAGTCTTTCTCTCTAAGCCCTGGTCGGAGCCAGAGTCTCCCACAGAAATGAAGGTGAGATCTACTTCTCTTAATCTATTCTAAACACTCAATTTCTTGCAAAACAACGAATCATCCTTAGCTTTTCTCCAATTATTTTCTTGACTTTCTCTTTATTACTGTGCTCGAAGCATCTTTCAATTTTTTGTTTTCTTCCTGCTAAAATATATAATAAACAATCCTTGTTGCGTTTCTTTCTTCAATTCTTGCTTCTGTTATTATCATGATTGATTCTTCATGTTTTCAATAATGTCGGCTTTTCACTTTTCCTCGAGATTATACGCTGATAATCATATCAGTCACTTGGGACACAATAAAAGTGGAGGGTCTGTCAGTTGACGGTTCAGTTATGGACAGGAATGTTTCATTGTATTAGACATGTCATTTACTGTTTTCTTATATTTTCAGAAACTTGTCCTGAAACTGGATTTGCATAATGACAAAGAAAAACAGAAGGCCATGAAAGAAGTGGCTGGTCTAACAGGTTCTTCCTTCAACATCAATATCTCCACTTGATTCTTTTCTTCTTTTCCTTCTTTCAAATTTATGTATGTCAATAACATTTATTCAATTCTTTGTTGTGTGTAGGTATTGATTCTATAGCCATGGACATGAAGGAGAAGAAATTAACAGTCATCGGAGACGTAGACCCTGTTTGTGTGGTGACCAAGTTAAGGAAGAAACAATGGCGGTACACTGAGATTCTGACAGTAGGTCCTGCAAAAGAAGAGAAGAAGAAAGATGAGAGCAAGAAGGACGGGGATAAAAAGGAAGATATCAAGCCCTGTTATCCTTACTACCCCCCATACTATGTGGTGAGCGTAGACGAGAGGCCTACTTCCTGCACCATGTGCTAAATTAGTAAATCGGGGAATTTGGGATGTTTTCATGTTTAGGAGATGGAATCGGTTGTTGTTAAAGTAAATTAGATATAAACCCAATAAAGGGGTTTCATGTCTCCTAATGTAAAAATCAACCAATCCACCATCTGGCATGAGTAATTATATAGCTTCACTAGTAAATCAAATATATATATATATATATTTTATAAAATAAGACAAGTGCTTCAATTTATAAAGAAAAGATCTTTTTTAATAAGGTAAAGTAAATAGTTTAGTTTCTGAAAAAAAGAGTAAAAAAAAGATATTACACAAATTTAAATTTTTATTAATAAGTAAAAAAATTTATATTTACATATTTAACAAGTGTGCCTAAAGGCATTTCTCTGTGTACATGTATACCTTCGCTCAAAATAAAACCCTTGAATACTGTTTGGTGACTTTTCAAAGTTGGAATGGTCAAATTTTAATACTAATGAGAGGTCTCCAGACCTAACTGGCCTGGCTTTGGTAGACATTGTTTCCTCGCACCCGGCAGGCGTCTTGTAAATGACCAATGAAATTTTAACCCATGACTTTTTCCACCTGGGGTCAACCTAATGTCCATTGTGGGGTCTCATTCTTACATTTCAATGGAAATGTGAACATAATTCAAACACAGGAGATGAAATTGGCAGGGGCAGAACCTTCCTCATCATTTGAATCATATTAATCTGATCCCTCAGGAAAATACATATATAGCAGACGGTTTCATCTGTGGCAGGCTTTGGCCACCAAAAATCTAACCAATCATCAGATTTTTAAACGTTCTTATCCAAATTCCTGCATCATGCTTACCAATCAGATGGTGCATGGTGAAAGAAAATGGCATGTTACTTGTTAAATAGCATGATAACAAGATGAATGTTAAATTAATCCCCGATTACCAATCCAATCATCCTAGTTATCATTAAGTGATCACTGAGGATCTCAAACTTCTCGTTATGGTAATAGCTGTCTATATATGCAACTCTAAAAATTGAATAGAAGGACAAATGGATGAAACTCCAGGGATAACGTTGGCGTTTACAGAGTTCTATATGGTTATCAGGTTCTTCTAAAACATAATTCTAAGATTCAAACCTCAAATTGGATAAACAAGGACTTAAGCTGCATAAATTCTTTCATTTTATTCACTTTTGGAGGAAAGCAATAAACCTTCTTCATCACTAACAATTTGCTTGTGAAGAAAGGCAAAAGTAGTACACTTGTTGAAGTAAATGAATGGTGATGTATGAACCCTTGGAGTCCTGTATGTTTTACAGGATTGTATAAAGGTTTTCTCCACGGGAAAGAATGCATTGGCCCCAACTTAGTTACAAATTAATAACAATGACAATAAATTAAGGCCTAGTCTGAAAAACGGGAAGTGTTTAATATTTCCCTCAGTTGCATATTGATAGAGCTGCTCGAGCTAAGTCCTGGCTGGAACAAGAGACGATTGAGGAATAGGAGTGTGCGGGAACACATTAATTTGTGACATGAAATCTTCCACCTTTCCTCGAGATAAGCTAAGTTTAAGGCTGCTTTGTTGGCGCTGTTTCCTTGCAGGCACCTTGACCTCCTTATTCTGATCCCTGTTCTGATGCATAAAGTCTGTAATTCTTGATAAGGCAACTTCCATGGTGCTGTCATCCATGTTGGCAATGCAAACCCTGAACCAACCTGGCTCAGTGCAATGAAAAGAAGAACCAGGAGAAACATTGAGCTTGATTTCATTGATTATCACTTTCCATAGCTCCATTTCTGCCTTAGAGGACTGATCTTTGAGAAGCCTACGCAAATCCATCCACATAAAGAGGCCAGCATTGCCATTCAAACAATCAATCTTCACCTGCTCAAGTCCCTCAGTGAAGACCTTGCGCCTCTTGTCTAGCCGCTCTTTGCTTTTTGCAATGAACCTATCAACAAACTCATCATCAGATAGCATTGCTGCAATCAAATGCTGAGTCTGTGAGGATACTAGTCCAAAGCTGGACATCCTTCTGGCACAATTCACCACGGCATCATTGTAGGAGTAGACAATTCCCACCCTGAAGCCAGGTAACCCCATGGATGAATTGGATCAAATTCTTATTAATAATGATGTTATTGATGCTGGCAGTACTAACGCGCGCCCTCACCTCACCTTAACGTTATACAGAAACGGCGTTGACCACATCGGTTTTACTATTAAGGAATTTTTATTTTATTTTCCTGCTTTTTCTATTTCGAAGAAATTTCACGAGGCGATGGCCGACCGGCGAACAGGCCCACCTCTGAATACTCTTTTCGCACCCCCACTATAAATAATCACTTTAGTTGTGAAGGAAATCTCAGTTCTCAGCATTTCATCGTCTATTCGGCTTCGAAAATCCTTAGCGCAAGCACTTGCATATTCCTGCCTTTGAAGTTTCCAACATTCTTTTAACTGTTTACTTTCTTCGTATATTCCTCCCGAGTTGCAATTTTTTAAGTAAATATGGTTGCAGACCTTAGAAATCAAAACCAGTTGTTGTCTAAAATGGCTATTGGTGATGGGCATGGGGAAAATTCTCCTTATTTTGATGGGTGGAAGGCGCACGACGAATATCCATACCATCCCATAAAGAGACCTGATGGAGTTATACAGATGGGTCTTGCTGAAAATCAGGTGAATTTTGCAAGCCTGCGCCATAAACAATATGGGATTTGTCTCCATTAATCGAATTGATCAAAGAAACAGGAACTTATTAAGGGTTTTAACTTTTAAGAGCCATACCTCTCTGAATTCTGGCAATCCATGGTAATCCTGAAAGATAGCAGTATCCTTGAAATTTAATACACCGACTGGCGTGCAAATAGAGGCTTTTGGGTTTTTCCTAAGCCAGTCTTGAATCAAATCAAAGCAAAGCTGCATTCACAGAACAAAGTTAACAATTAGTTGTGCCCCTT